CCTCGCACCGCTGGCGGCGCCTCCCCCGCGGGGCTCCCTTGCGCCCCTCACACCGCGGTCCTGGGTCCCTGCGGCAGCTTAACCCCTCCCCTGCCGCGCTGCCCTGGAGGCCGGGCCCGGGAGACGGGGGGGCTGCGCCACCAGCCGCGGCGAAAGCCGGGAGTGGAGGCCGGGCAGCGCGGGACGTGGGGGCGCCGGCCCGGAGCCTGTGCTCCCGCCCCGCCGCCCCCGGCCCCGCCTGGGTGTCGGGCGGAGGAAACGGGAGGGGCAGGAAGCGGACTGCGGTGGGCTAGGGGCGCCCCGCCCAGCCCCCGGCCCGGGTTCCTGTTTTTGAGACAAACCGTTCCCACGAGGTTCACCCAGCCCGGGGAGGACGTCTTCCGGCGGGCAGCGGGGGGCACAGTGTAGAGATGGGGGCCTGGGGCCGAGGATCTGGGGAGTGTCTGGGGGAGGGGCGGGAACAAGATGGGAGCATTTAGGGAGAGGGGCCTGGAGCAGGGCGGAGGGCGCTGCCTCGGGGCGCTGGAGGACTCTAGTTCCCATCGCAGGAACGGGGTGGGGGCGGCCACCCAGGGGACAGATGGAGAGGGCAGCAGAAGGATGGGTTTTCCGCCGCTTCGGACTGGGTGCCTGAGCCCCGACCCAAAGGTGCCTGGGAGGGGTAACCACAGGCGGTTGGGGTCCCCAGCAGCCTTTCCTAAGGGAGCTAGTAACAGTTTCCGGGCGTGTGGGTTCAAGCACATTCACTGTGAAACCACCGGCCCCAAACCTCTTTCTGAGGCTTGCCCCTCCCTGCCCGAGGAGGCGGGGACCCCCCCCCACATACACCTCAGCCCTGGCCATGGGAGCCCTAGAAACGAGCCATGTGGCCTTTGGATCCCCCAGAGCAAGGAGGGCGCGTCATTGGCCGAGACTGCATGGCCTGAGCGCCCACACCCTCACATTCCCCGGCTTCAAAGGGAGCAAAGCCACCTGCTAAGGACCCCTAAACGCCGCAGTGGGCGGGGCGGGGGTGGGGCCAAGAAGGCGCCAAGCAGCCGGAGCTCCTCCCCGTCCTGACAGCGTGGATGCTCCCTTGTCCCGGAGGCCTCAGCTCGTGTCCCCACTCCCAGGCCTGTGGGCCCCACCCAGTCGCACGCCCCGCCCCCGGCCAGCTTGGCTGCCCGCTGACCTAGTATGGACACAGCACAGGGAAGAAAGGCATCGAGGGTGGCTGCTGCAGAGTCCCAGGCCCCGCCCCTTGAAGGGGACGCACCTGCCGAGGGTAGGGGTAAGGAGGTGACTGCGCAGCTGCTGCCATGCCCACCAAGAGCTAAAAATATTCCCAGCAGAGAGATGCATCAGGATGTTCCCGAGGAGAATCACTTTATTGGGGAGTGGGTGCAATTGGTCAGGCCCCATAAAAAGGAGGGGGTCAAGAGCCCTAGGACAGAAAGGGGACAGTGTCTCTAGTCACACTTGACACTGGGACCTCGAAGTGGGAGAAACGGGGCCCAGGAGGGGCTTAGAGATCTGGCTTAGGACACCCACTCTCTGGACAAGGAGCTGGGGCTGGCCCAAGACATTGCACCAATTTGGGCTGTGGGAGTCTGGACCACAGACTCAGATGGCCTCATCAGGGGCCGGCAGGCGCTGGCGAGTAGGCTCAACCCCCCAGATCTCCCGGGCATACTGGGCAATGGTGCGGTCACTGGAGAACTTGCCAGAAGTAGCAATGTTCCGGATCACCATCCTCGTCCACTCTCGGGGGTTCTGTAGGCCAAAAGGGAGCCCTGAGTTGATCATCTGGCAGAGGACCCAGGGGTCCTACTTTCAGCCTCATCCCATCGAGGGCTGCCCAAACTCATCACACCCAGGCCCAGGCCCCCTCACCTTGTACAGGGCACTGACTCTCTCTTGGCATCTAATGTAGTCTTCGTAATCTGCAAAGACTTTAAACCTGAAGGGAAATGGAGACATGAGAGCCAGAGCTAAGCAGTCAGGTCCCAGCGCATCCCCACCCTCAGGAGGAACCTGTGCTCACTGCTCAGGACCCCTCCTGCCCCGCTCTTGCAGTGGGCCTGGGCACCAAGCAGCCCCACCAGGTGTGGCTCACCGGTCATGGTGCATGAGCATGTTGACAATGTCCTTGAACAGGTCGGGCTGTTTGGGGGAGAAGAAGCCGCTGCTGAGCTGCTCGATGATCTGCCGGAGCTCAGGAATGCGGTCATAGTACTCCTGGGCGTTGTACCTGTGGGGCACAGGCCTGCTCAGTGAGTGGAAAGGGGCCCCTGGCTCCATTTGAAAAAAATGGAGCCTCAGTAAGGAGCCTTGAAGGCTGTCAGTTCAAACCCCACCACCACCCCCAGTTCTTCCACAGGCAAAAAGACATAGCAGTCTGCATTCCATTCCAGCCTGGGAAACCTTGGGGACAGTGTGTCCATCCTAAAGCATTGGCAGTGTGTTGGATTTACTGGCAATGAGTTTTGAGTTTGGCTGTTTTCAAACCTCAAGGCTAGAACCTGGGCTCAGCCGGCTGCTGGGCTCCCTGGAGCTGCCATACTCCCTCTCAGTTCCCTCCCTGCAAGCAACCCCTGCCTTTTCTGCTTGGCTTGTCACTCTGCACTGTGTGGATGAGGAAGCTCAAGTTCAGGGGAGGACAGCAAAGTTCATGTCAAAGTCAAGACGCCAAAGCAAGGGCTTCTTCCCGTGTCACCCACCACCACAGCCTCCTCCCAGTTTGTCATCCTGGTGAGTAACTGTCCTCCCCCACTCTGGCAGGCTATGCCCCCCCCCAATATTTCAAACAAGAGTGTCATATAATGCACAGGAATCAGGGGCACGTCCAGCCCACTTCCAAAAAAGAGCCAGTGTAAAACATATAGATTGCAACAGATGTCGTGCAAGATCATTAGACTAGGAAGCACAGTGTCCCAGTCAAGCCACCAATGATTGGGTCAATGGGCCAGGGCTCAGCAGTGCTCAGTTCTGTTGTGCATTGCCATGAGTTGGAGCAACCTAGCCAGTCCAGCCGTAGCCCTAGCCTGACCCTCAGCCGCTTGGAGGAGGCCACGTGCATGCCCTCAGGAATGGCCTCAAACTCGAAACTCAACATGAGCTCATCACTTCGCCAGAACCAGCTTCCCGTCAGCATTCCCACAGTCCATCCTCTCAGCCCAGTTCAAGCGGCTCCACGAGGCCAGGCCCATCTCCTTCCCTCCCTCCCTCCCTACTGTCAACCAGACCCCAAGGTCTCCTCCTCCAGTGTCCCCTACGGTCCACCTCCAGCACTGCCCTGGTGACTCTCTGGGCATGATGGCATCCACCTCGACACTCGTGGCCCACCTCCACTTTCTGTCCCCTCCCATCCCATCCCCAGCCTGCAGCAGGAACTGCTTTCCTGAATGCTGACCCTTGATTGAAACATTCCATAACTTCTCTTCTGCCCAAAGGACAAAGATGGAACTTCCTTGTCTAATCTCCAAAGAAATCACTATGTGAGCCTGCTGGTGGGTGCATGCACAGGGAGCAACTTTCTAGAAAGCAACTTGGCCTCAAAGATTCTATACTTTATGACTCAGAAAAACTCCCTTCTAATAATTACACTGAAGAAGAATGGATGCCTTCTGAATGGTAGTGCTAGTAGAATATAGGGGACGTGCAGCCGGAGTGGTCCGTGGAAGCAAGGATCGGGAGACATCATCGCGCATATTTGGACATGTTATCGGAACAAGTCAGTCTCTGGAGAAGGAAATCATGGCTGGAAAAGCAGAGCAAATGAGAGGCAGGCTCCCGAGGAGATGAAGAGACGGTGGCTTCAACAGCTGGTTTAAGCAGAGCAACTATCCTGACGATGGTACAGCTCGGGCTGGGCTTCCAGCTGCTGTACGTGGGTCACCAAGAGTGGGGACCGACTAGAGAGCCCCTAACATTAGCAATGATTATCTTAAGGAAATGTGTGTTCAAAGATGTAATAGGTTGCTTGGCACAGTGATATCTATAATAACAAACAGGAAATCAACCCTAATACTCTCCAAGTATATGGAACTAGATAAAGAAGTTATGGTACGTTCATTTGACACTAGTATGCAAATATTTAAAATATTTTGAGCACGACTTAATGACACAGGAAATGCCTCCCTACTGTTAAATAAGATGCCATGACTCAAAATGATACACTTGTTTTTCCTCAATTTTTGAAATTGCTGTTAGCTGCCAGTATACTAACCCCACGCACAATGGAATAAAATCGTTGAGTCAGGGTTTTCAGTGGCGGATTTTCCAGAAATACATTGCCAGCCCTTTCTTGCTAGTCAGAAAGCGCCACTGAATCCTGCTCAATTATCAAAGCAGCACAGAACTCTCCACTAACAGACTGGGGGTGGCCGTAATGAGGTATGTTAGCCCGAAATCTAACCAGGCCTCTCTGAATGAGGAGATCGTGAGTGACAGTTACAGATCCTCTGTGCTTTTCACTACTCTAATCAATTAGTGTGTACTACTTTCATAAGCTATTTGAATCCATGGGAGAAAGATGGGCAATTTCTCGTGCAATTAAACTGCCTCGGAAAACCCACCAGAGGGTCAGCTATGGTTCGGTTCTGACTCAACAATACTCAACAACAACTTTCATAAGGAAAAAAAAATTAAGCCAAGTTTTTTAAAATTGAAATGCCAAGAAAATGTCAGCTCTAAAGAAGTGTGTTTCTGGCCACAAGTTCAGTTGGAACTGCTGTACTCATGTTTCCCTTTTTGCCATGGCTGCCAGGGAGCTTAGGATTTGAATTCTTTTCCAATTCCAGAAACAACATTGTCTCTCAGGGTTAAAAGAATTTTTTCTCCCTTTAGTCTGAATTTCTTCTTTTTTTTTTTCCTGTTTGATCAACCGTATTTGTTGTGTGGCATGCCAAAAGCTTGCCAGATTTGACGGTCCTAATAATCAACCCCTCGTAGAACCTTGGACCAGGCATCCCAAGCACTCCTAGTCCTGCCCTCCAAGAACCACACTCACCCATGAACCCTGAATTTCAGAGCCCTGGACTTCCATACCCTCTCTGGTCAAGCCTGTCCACATCCTCGACCCTCATGCCAAAGATGAAGAAGTTCTCCTGGCCCGCCTCTTCTGCCATCTCAACGTTGGCACCATCCATGGTGCCAATGGTCAGGGCTCCATTAAGCATGAACTTCATGTTACCAGTGCCCGAGGCCTCAGTACCCGCAGTGGAGATCTGCTCAGAGAGGTCAGCGGCTGGGATCACTGTGGGGACAGGGACAACAGGGACACAATGAACTCAGGGAACAGTCCCACGCTAGCAGGAATTAGGGGTTGGGCTGGTCCTAGGCACAGCCAGATTCAGACTCTTGCTCAGTCCTCCAGTCTTTGCCCGCCGCCCCCCAGCCCCACCCTGGCCTCTATCTCTTGTGAATTCTTGAGTAGCTGAGCTTCAGCCTGGATTGGGGGTATAATCTGAAGACGGAGCTCTGGTGGCTTAGTGGTAAGGAATTGCGCTGTCAATGAAAAGGTACATGGACTGAATCCATCAGCTGCTCTGCAGGAGAAAGACGGCCAGTCTCCTCCTGTGAGATTTACTGTCTCTAAAAACCCAATGAAGAGTCAGGTTTGGGTTGGTTCCCACCCAACAGTACACAGCAATGCTTAACGCAAAAGTAAGACCCACTGGGCAAGCACTGTTCTCTCTAGGGTCTTCTTTAAAGCGCTAGTACTGAAGGAGAGTTGCCCAGTTCCTTCCTGGGAATGAACTAGTATGTGTTTGCCCTGCACCCTGTCGGCAGCCCCCACCTTTCTCAGCCAGAGAGACTCGGTAGTTCTCCAGGAAGATCACTCGGAGGCGGTCTCCCACCACTGGGTCGTGGTTGACCACATCCCCAATGGCCGTGATGAGTTTGATGATCATCTTGGCCATGTGGTACCCAGGTGCGGCCTGTGGGGCACAGCTGAGGGTCAGCACCACACCCCTAACTGTGACCCCTTATCCTGCAAACCAATCAAGCCAATATCAAAGGACCGGAGATGTGGTGGGCTCAGCCTCACCTTCCCTCCAATCATCACAGTTCGAGGCACAACAAACTTATTGGGTTCCTTCTTGATGCCTGTGGAGAAAAAAGGGAGTCAAGATGGTCTGCTTCCCACTCCTGGACAGTAGCCCTTGGGAGCACTCACCCCACTGGGGTACAGACTAGGAAACAAGATGCCTAGTTAGGATAACCACTTGCTATGTAGTTTTGGGCCTGTCATTTTCCTCTTTCTGAGCCTCACTTTGCTCATCTGTGAAATGGGGATCATTTCACGTCCCAAACATTGTGTGAACCCACGGTGATACCAAGGAGCAAGTGGGGCTGGGAAGGGGGGCTCCCGGGCAGTGTCCAGCCCCGGCCACTCACGGTTGTATAGGGTGATGATGTGGAGGCAATTGAGGAGCTGGCGTTTGTATTCATGAATTCGCTTCACCTGGACATCAAAGAGCGAATTGGGGTTGATCTGGACTTTGTATTCCCTCTCTAAGTATGCAGAGAACTTCAACTTGTTTTCCTGGAGGCAGGGAAAGGAAGAATCTCACCACAAGGTCTCAGGAGGTCCTATGGCCATCCTCTCCATCCTCTAATGCCCAGGAAGGCAGGTGCCAGGAGCTCTGGACAGCCACCCATCTCCTGCCTACACCAGGGCAGACATTGCTAATCAATATCAGCTCTCTTCCAGCGAGTCCACATGACGCCTTCCCACCAAGGCCTCCAGGCAGCATCTGCCTTGGCCTGTGGTTGGCAGGAGAGATGAGCTTTGCGTTCCTCACCCAGACACCCAGCCGCAGCACAGGGGTCCCGGGTCGCAGCCCTCCCCACCTGCTTGACTTTGGCCACGTCTCGGATAAAGGCTTCATCATCCACATAGGACAGCAGTTTGCGGAGCTGGTCCAGGTCTGAGATGTACTCCTCCCCAATGCGCTGCAGGAAGAGGACTCCCAGTCATGCCCGCCATCCTCCCCAACCTCCTCCCCACACACCCTTCCTGCTCAGATGCCCAGCAGGCCATTCCCGAAGCCATCCACCTTCCTCTCTAATGCACAGGTGGTGACGACGTGTGCATGGCCAACTTCCTTCCCTCACAACCCCGACTCCTGATGCTGATGCCAGACACCACCTGGCTCCAAGTAGACCTTCCTATAACTAGTCTTTACCTCTGTAACCTGTCTTCAGGCTGGCAATGACCTTGATCTCTGGCCCCTTCAGAATCCCCACTGACCAGGTGTCCACTGGACCGTGGACTCCACCACACTGACCTTACGGCTAGAGCGTCCAATAGCCAAGAAGACGCTCATGTAAATAAGAAAATGGCACCCCCTTCTCCAGGTTTGGGGCGTGCAGAGCAGGGTGGGCTTTGACCTTCTGCTGAGGATCCTCTTGCAGTGAACAACCCATACCCGACCTTTCCCTGTAGTGACCTCCCCCAAGCTGCCCCTGCTGGCCGCAGTGCCCTCACCTCAGCGATGACCTCCGCCAGCCCTGGGTTACAGAGGACCAGCCAGCGCCGAGGGGTGATGCCGTTGGTCTTGTTCTGGAACTTGTGAGGCTCCAGCTCGTAGAAGTCCTTGAAGCTGCCGGAAGGTTGGGAAGGGTCACCGCTCAAGTCTGTGGGATGAAAGCCTCCTCCCTACCCCTTGATGAAGTGGGGGAGCCCTGGAGAAGGTAGGGGCGCTGTGCACAAAAGCTGCCTGCCACCTGGGGACAGGACTGTTCTGGAGTGACCTCTGAGCATGTAAAGGTGAGGCCATCTGTGGAAGAGACCCCCGTTGGGGGAGACCACTAAGGGATGGCTATCTCTGGGACCAGGGACTGGTGGAGGGCGTGGCACCCCAGGAGGCGGGGCTCACATGGTCTTCTTGAGGATCTCGGAGTGGATGCGAGCCACGCCGTTGACCGCGTGCGAGCCGGCGATGCACAGGTGAGCCATGTTGATGCGCTTCACAGCGCCCTCCTCCACCAGCGACATGCGCCGCAGCCGGTCCACGTCCCCTGGGAACGCAGCTGCCACCCTCTGCACCCCGAGAACACAGGCTGGGACCAGGTCCCAGGAACAGGGCCCACACCCCAGCCACCCACCCCAGGCACGCATCCCGCCCCCACCCAGTGTCCGCTCACGTTCAGGAAGCGCTGGTTGATCTCGTAGATAATTTGGAGGTGCCTGGGCAGCAGCGTCTCCATGAGGTGGACGGGCCAGCGCTCCAGGGCCTCAGGCAGCACCGTGTGGTTGGTGTATGCGCACGTCTTCACTGTCACATCCCAGGCCTGGAGACCATGGGAGGTCAGCCCAAGCCGCACGGCACTCTGTGTACACGCTGGAGCAGGGCCACCACTCCTGGGCCCCAATGTCCCACAGTTCATCAGGGATGCCCCTCCCATCGCCCCCAAACAGGGAAGGGCCTTAAATGTCCATCTATCCTCGAGGCAGGGAAGGTCCCTACCGCCAATGCGTCCTGCAGCCCACCTTGTCCCACTCCAGGTGCTCCAGGTCCACCAGGATCCTCATCAGCTCAGGGATGGCCAAGGACGGGTGGGTGTCATTGAGCTGGATGGCCACCTGTGGGGAGGGGGTCGGGCTGGGGGCTCAGGCTGGGCTGCAGACTAATCGCCCAAAGGTACAGCCCTTGCCCTATCAGAGCCTCCTCTGAAAAGGCTGGACCTGGTGACGTGGCTAAGCTGGGACAGAAGGAAGAGGGAGGCTCCCCGGGCTCTGTATACTGAAGGCCCTGAGAAGGCCCCCCTCGCTCTCCACCCTCTGTCTATAAAGCAGGAACAGGGCCCTTGGACAGGACAGGCTGAGACATGAGGTCTGGAAATGTCCTAGGCGCAGGGAGGCCCTTTCCAGTGGCTGGTACCTTGTCAGGGAAGGCATCGAAGCTTGTGCGCACGGGGTCCCGGCAGCCGAACTTAGAGGACTTGAAGCGACGGATGATGTCCTGAAGCGTGGCGGCCACCACGAAGTACTCCTGCTTCAGCCGCAGCTCCTTCCCCTCAAAGAACTGGGGGGGGGAAATTCCGGGCAGGGCGGAGTCAGGGGAGCAGGGGCGTGGCCTACAGCTGATGGGGTGGGGGTGGACCAAGGGGAGACGCCCACCCACACCAAAACATCCAAGCTCAAACTGTCTCCACCACAGCACCTGGGGCTCTCTCTTGGTGGGTCACAGAATCAGGAAGGAGCAAACAAGGGACAAGATTATTGTGGGTGACTTCAGGAACTGCCCCCCTCCCCGACAATCATTTACACCCTAACCAGCTTCCCAAAGGTCTCAGAGACAGAGCGGAAAATGCAGGGGCCAGTGAGATGCCCAGGGAGTGCCCCCCCCCAGGCTTTCCTCTCTCTGGGCCTCAGCTCAAGGGGAGACGCACGTTGTCGTTGGGGTACAGGACACGAGAGATGTTCTCGGCCAAATTTCGGTCCAGCACAGCCTGGATATAGCCACCGACATTGACTAAGGGAGAGGAGGAGACATCAGGCTTGAGCTGTGCAGGGGCTGGCATGGGGCTGCCGGTCCCCCTGGCAGGAAACTTACAATCTTTGAGGTTGAAGTCATTGGGGGCCTTGGCAGACCAGAGGCGCATGGTGTTGACGATGTTGTTGCGATAGCCGGGCACGGGCGTGTCATAGGGCATGGCCAGTACCACCTGCAGGGGGCAAGGGTGACAGTCTGGACACCTGTCCATGTACAACTCAAGGTCTTTGACCCTGCTCTCTGCCCACCTTCATTACCAGTCCCACCACTGGGTAACCATGAGCAGACCCCTAATCTCTCTGAAGCTCTTCTATAAAGAATCTCACCACCACTCCCAGCCCAAGTCCACCCCCCAACCCGGTGCTACACACACACGCTGCAGGCAGGGCCTCCTTCCCTGGGCCTCAATGTCCCACAGTGCATCAGGGACACCACTCCCTCCCCTCCCCACACTCCCATTCGCCCAGCAGTGCTATTGTGGGGACCACAAACAGCTGATGGTTGATGGGGCCTGTGGCCCTCCTGGCCCTGCACACCCGCATGGAAGAACCACGGGAGACAGGGGTCAGCAGTGGAAAAGGTCTCAGAGGTCAAGCCCATCCAAGCGGCTTATGCCTGACTGACCTCAGGATGGCCCAGTCACTCAGCCCACTGCTGTCAAGTCCACTGTGACTCTTAGTGAGCTTCCACTGGGTTGCTGAGGTTCTAAGTCTTCAGGGCAGGAAACTGCCCATACATTGATGAGTGCCCAATGGATTCGAACTCCCAACCATATGGCTGGTAGCCCTTCGTAGGTCCCCAGTGCTCCAGGGGAGTACTGTCTCTGTCCCAAAGAGCCCTGGTGGTATGATGTGTTATGTTCCAGTTATGACTGGGAAACTTAAAGATGGCAATCTGAATCCACCCTCTGCCCCTTGGGCACACAAGCTGTACAACCAGCCTTGGAAACCCACTGACTGTCCAGCCTCCCGGCTGGCCTCTGTATGAGCCGTGTGGAGAGCTTAAGTTAGATGAGGGACACTGGGGGAGAGGGCTGTAGCGTGGCCTCTCTCCTGTTTCTCTGACCCTATTTCTGCCTCTCCTGACTTCAGCTGTGTGACCTGGAGTAAGTTGCTTCACTTCTCTGAGCCTGTTCTCAGATGCAAACCAGGAATGGTAACACGGTCCTGTAGCCTCAAGAGTCTCCCGTGGTTTCCTGCTTCCTCGCGCACCCACTCCTCCTCTCTGTGCACCTCCCTCCCTGGTACCCCCTTCTCACCTGTGTGTCCACCCACTTGACCCCCTGGCTGGTGTGCTCCACTCGGCCGTAGAAGTGCACAGGCAGCGTGAACTCAGGCCGGGCCTTCTCCCAGGGGTTGCCATAGCGAAGCCAGTCATCAGCCTCCTCCATCTGAGCTCAGGGCATTGAGGAGAGAGAGGTCAGAGCCGTGTGTGTGTGTGTGTGTCTGTGTCTGTGTCTGTGTGTGTGTGTCTGTGTGTGTGTGTCTGTGTGTGTGTGTGTGGAGAGAGATTCTGTGCAGTCCAGGGTGGGGAATGTCCACACTAGGGGTGCCTGGCTGACTCTGGAGAGAGACTGAAAGGAAGCATGCTTCCTAGCAAGACAGAGACAGGCTCTGGAAGTCTGGATACAGACAGCCCAATGTGTCCCCCTCCATCAGGACTGGGCCCCCCAGGGTCAGGGATCCTCACCTGCCAGCCCCCACAGATTTTCTGGTTAAAAATTCCAAATTCATAACGGATCCCGTAGCCATAGGCAGCCAGACCCAGTGTTGCCATGGAGTCCAAGAAGCAGGCTGGGGTGGGGGGGAAGTACAGGGAGGTGGGTATCAGGGACCAGCCTGGAGGAGCCCACACCCCACATCGACATTCACTCAGTTACCTGCCAGCCGGCCCAGGCCCCCGTTGCCCAGTCCTGCATCTTCCTCAATTTCCTCTAGCTCCTCCATGTCCAGGCCCAGCTAGAAGGGGAGGGAGTCACAGCAGTCAGAGCTGAGCACCAGTGGGGTATCCCTGTCCCCAGGGCTGGTCCTTTCTGCTGCCCCCACCCACCCACACACCTGGTAGGTGGCCTCGTCACAGGCATTCTCCAAGGCCAGGTTCACCATGGTGTTCTGGAGCGTGCGTCCCATGTAGAACTCCAGTGACAGGTAGTAAATCCTCTATTGGGGTGGGGGCAGGGGGGTGGGCAAGAAAGGAAGTCACACCCCTCCTGCCCAGTTACTGAAGCAACCACTGACCTGGACCTAGCATCTTCTACTCTGGACAAATCACTGACTCTCAGAGCCTCATTTCCCTCCCCCCACCCCCACCCCCGGGGTAAGTGGGCCTGGCCACACCTATCCTGGGCCTGACTGCACGGTTGAGAGAGCTCAACACAGGTGGGGAGCTCTTCCCAGTCACCTGCCACTCTTGCTTCCTGACCGCTCAGGGGCTCAGGACCCAGAGAAGCACCTCCACCGTGCAGGGGAGGGGCCCAGGAGAGAGAGAGTCATCCGCTCAAGGTCACGGTGACTCAGGCTGGAGCTGGGCCATCCTGCCTTTCCTGAAGTGCCCAGCCCCATAGCTCTGAAGCCTCAGTCCCTGACGCGGTTTAGGGTTAGGGTTTAGGGGCAGCTCTGCTGATGGGCTGGGGCCCCTCCCCACCTGCCCCGCCCCCACGCCTGCCAGGCGGGGGTGTTAGGTTGCTGACATTTACGGATGACCCCAGAAGACACTTGATCTCTGCCCCAGCTGCTGGGCCTGGCCCTGCCCAGTGCACCGGCCACCCTCCTGCACAAGTTCAAAGACACGCCTTTCCACTTGGGACCAAATCAGCAGCCCCTTCAAGTACAGTGGAGTGGGTGCTGGGCCTCTGACCCGAACACCCCACCTGTCCTTCTCTCGAGAGGCTGCCTAAATCCAGCACCCAGGGGTCCAGAAACCTGTGGGAACAGCCTACTTTGTCACAGAAAACCCTAAGCTCCGAGGTGAGGCCCGCCCCGCCCCCACCTCCACCCGGCCCCCCATGCACCTTGGGGTCCTTCTCGTAGTAGTGCTGCTGCGTGCGGATCCAGCGCCCCACCAGGTGGTCGCGCACCGTGTGGGCCAGCGCGAAGTAGTAGTCTCGGGGCGTGGCCACGTTGCGGTCCTTGACAAGCGTGAAGTGCAGGTGCCGGTTGAAGTTCTTCTTGAGATCCGTCACATTCTCCACGCCGGCCAGGCCGCGCACGCTGATCTGCTTCCTCTTGTCATGGTCGGACATGGGCCGGGACATGGCTGCGGCGGGCGGGACAGATGGACTGACGGTGGACAGGCGGCCTCCGGTGCCTCCAGCTGGGCAGTGGAGCGCCTGCGCTGCGGGGGGATTTAAGGGCTGGCTCCGGGCAGCACGCCCGCCCCGCCTCCCCCCACCTCGCGATCAGATGGGAGGGTCTTGGCCCAGCAGCTCCGAGAGCTATTTTGGGGGTGAGGGGAGGAGAGGAGGCAGGGCAGGGAGGGCCCAGCCTGGCTCCTGGCTCGTGCACAGCCCTTCCGTCAGGCTTCACCCTGGGGTCTTCCGTCCTCCTGCCTCTTACAAGATCTGAGACAAGTTCCAGCAGGCAGAGAGGCTTGAGGCTTCCACAGTTGCAGTTTGCTGTGTGGCTTTGGACAGGGCGCTCCCCCTCTCTGGGCCTTTTGCCCGAGTGAGTTACAGCTGAACGCAAGGTTGAATTCTGTTTCTAGCTGACAGAGCCATCAAGGCCGACTGGAGACAGGAGTTCGTCAGAGTCAGCTTCGCTGCTCAGAGCCTGCTCACTTACAGAGCTCTCCTATCTGCCTGCCAGCGTGGAGGACGCCCGGTCCATGTGGGACACAGGCCCTGCGTTAGAGGCGCAGGGGCTGCATCCGTATGCCCTGGCAGCTTGGTGTCTGGGACCAGGGACATTAGGACCCTGGGCCCGAGGAGGGGTGTGGGCGAGGTCATCTGAAGCAGGGCCACTGTCCCCACCCCCCACTCTCATCAAAGCTGAACCACTCTGAGATCCCCCTGTTGCTGTCCCTCAAGCAGCTCTCAAGTGACCTTTCAGGAGGGACGGTCAGATTACAGACCGGCTGTGGCTGTTGGCCCCCGGCCTGGAGCAGGGCATACTGGGAACTGTAGTCCTGTGGGCTCTTAAGATGGGGGTGGCCAAAGCCTCTGGCCCACTCACTTTGGTTAACCGGATTGGGGCTCCCTCTAGTCCAGCGAGGCTCCTAGGGGGACACACAGCTTGCACTCAACACTGGTCTAAAGGTCAACGAGTAAAACCGGCCCAGTGGTGAAGAAAAACCCTGTTCAGCATCCACATGGTTAGACCCTATGGAGCAGTTCTGACGCTCTAAGAGTTGGAGTAACTCGGCAGTCTCCACTTTTCCATGATCCAGCCAAGGGTGGATTAAGGAGGACCTTCCCTCCCTCCCAACACCCCCAGGAGTCCTGCACCGGGTCAGAGCATCCACACCCTCTGCTGTGGCCTCACCCACAAGATGGCTTGCATGCCAGTGCCTTTCTACTTGTCTGTGGAGCCTGGCAGTGTCTGGTCTTTCCTTCTCAGGACCTGCCCTCAGTGGTGACTTTCCATGAACTCAGGCTGGGTGCTTCCCCACACCAAACCTACTGCCATCAAACTGATTCCAAAGCACAGTGAGCCCAGGTTGGATGAAGCCAAGTTGACTGCACGGGGTTTCTGGCTGCTCACATCACCAAGTCTTTCTTCTGCTTCACTGGGTGTCTCCAAATGTTTTGCAAACTGCTCTTGCTGTTAAGTCCAGTGAGTATAAAGCCCCTCCCCCAGCTGTTTCTTCCCAAACTATGGGCCTCCACTGGATCTGACTTTACTGAGCAAAAGGAGTCCAGGACCTTATCTATTTAAAATCATGCCTGGGCCTCTGAGCAGGTGGACTGCATCCAGTAAGGACTGGCTGTTCTGGTTGAGGGCTAAGGTCAAAGGTGGGATAGCTGCAGGATGCTCTGGGGTTTGGGTAAGGCTGAGCAATCTGACCACTTACTGAGAAACAGCAGACCTGGCCCTGGAATTGCCAGCTTGGTCTAGTGGCCAAAGTTCAAGTCCCTCCTTGGACTGGATGCCAAGTCCTACTCTACCCTGGTGTTGGGGGAGTGGTGAATACTTTGGGTGCCAACCACAAAGGCTGGTAGTTCAACTTCACCAGCTGCTCAAGTCCGGTTCCACAATCAAGGGTAGTTCTGTCCTACCGGGTCACTGAGGCAGAATCCCCCCCAAAGGTTCTGTCCTAAACATCATGTTGCCATGTTTAAACACAGGATCAGGAAGAAACCACCACCACAGAGAATGGGATTATGAAAAGCTTTATTAAAAATCAATCACAAAAACCCCAACATTTTATTGCCTATTTAAATATGCTTAATCTCTGGTCCTTTCTACTTGGTTCACATACTGGTGACCTCCTTCTGGGTTCCAAGTGTTGAACATCCCTATCCCAGCCTCCACCCACAAGCACATCTCTGGGCTTTCAGCACCGGATTGGCACTGATGCCCCTCCCATGCCCTCAGCCTATATGTCCCCAAGGGAGGGCACTGGTTGGAGTGAGGTCAGTCTAACTCCAGCTGCACTAGCATGGAGTGATGACAGCTCACTCCCAGAGTAGCATGTGCTCTGGACACAGCCTCCTGCCTGGTCACACTGTCCACCCATTCCCATTCCCCAGCCAGTCTAAAAGCCTTTCCAGGTGTTGACTCCCAGAACTATCCTCTTCCAGATTCTATCATCCCCCCTACCCTAAGACTACCCGATTTGTAATTTTTACCCCCATACATGTACCTTGTAACACCTTTCATCACAGGGTGTGCACCCACACATTTCCGACACTGTGCAGCCAGGTCCCACCCAGCCCCTCATTGTGAGAGCAGAGAATGACTTGAATATACTGTAAAACCAGTGCTCAATCTTAACTTTCCCACTGTTTCTAAGCACAAGTTGTGCCTCCTTTCCTGATTTTGGGCCTGGCCAGACTCAGTAACAGAGCTGGGTGCTGACCTTTCCTGAATGCATTCCTGTCACTAAGCTTGTGGGGGCAGGGAGACAGTGCTGCAGCAGCACAAACTGGACCCAGGCTGCTCCTCCAAGTTGAGGCAGGGGCTCCCACTCAGCCACCAGAGTAGGTGCTACGGCTCCTGGGGCCCAGCTTCCCATTTGGGACTCAGTCCCAAACCTGGAGAAATGCCCAAGACGGATGCCTTCGTCAGCCACTCTGTTGCTTTCTGAAACCTTAACAAGAGCTGCCAGTGGGGTGCAGAGCGAGCGAGCACAGGAATGGAGCTACCCCAGGGGAGAGGCTGAGGAAAAGCTAGGCTGTGGTTAAGTCATTTATTGATTTTTATTTCTAAAACCCACATAGCGCCACTTTGCCTCTTCCAGGGCTTCAAAGAGCTAATTAACCGCCCAATGAGCCCACCAGGGAAACCAAGCTTGTGGGGGAAGCAGTGAGGTGAAGCCAAGGTTAGAGAGGGTAAGGGAGGCAGCCTAGTCCCTGCCCCCAGCCCCAGTTAAGGACAAAGGAGAAGCTCCTTCCCTCTGCCTTCTTGTCCACTGGCAGTTGGGCCCTGGTTATGGGAACTTGCTGAACTGGCCTTGTTTCTGAGGCTGAAGCAGCCTATCAGCCTATAGCAAAGCTACACACAGGATGCTGGCTGGGGCCCAGGTCCCGGGCCTCACTCCAGGTAGACAGCACTAGCCAGCTCTGGCTGCCAGCCCATGGCAGTGTTGTCCCCATTGGAGAGACACTGGGTGCAGCAGGAGCTCGCCTGTTCCTCAGCCTCCCTCAAGCCCCAGGGAGGAAAGGCAGTTTTCCCCCTAGAGGCCATAACCAGAGCGCTTTACTACCACATGGAGCCCCAACATGGATGGAAACTCTCAGGTGCCACAAGAGGCACCGCCCACCATCCCGGTCCCAAGACAAGAAAACCATCTGAGACCCTTTACCCAAAAGTGCTGATGAAGCCCAAGGCTCGGTACTTCATCTTGCCCCCGCCACTCTCCTAAGCCTGCAGTGCTGGCAGGCTGCAAGTCACCAGCAGAGAAAGAAAAAGCCACTTGGCGGTTTTAATTTTAGTTGCTCTGCGCCGACAGACAGGATTAGTGGGCCTGACCTTTAGTGTGGTGGCTCCCTAGGCCCAGGGCGGCAGGAAGGTGGCAGCTTCCAGGCACAAATCACAACCGGAGTTTGTCAAATGTTGGGGTCTAAGCCCAGAGCAAAGCTTTCAGAAAAACAGAGACCAGGGAGGATGTGACCACAACCTGGCCACTGCTCAGTTCTAACCACTGGCATGAGGTCACAGAGGCAAGGTCCTATTACAAGGGTCCCTGGTCAGCCCCAGGAAGGAGAGTGCCAAATGTTGAGAACCCGAGCAAAGGTAAGGAAGGGACATCAGGTGGTGGTCTGGGAAACGGGCAATAAAGTTTAAAAAAGAAGCAGACCCAGAAAACCACACTGCTCTTTATTCATGGAATAACCCCCTTTAACGCCATGTTGGATCATACACAGATAAAAGCCCAGAGGCATTTCTGCAGATAACCAGTGAGAACGCGCATCATACATCACTGTCAACATCACGCCATGAAGGGAAGGATAAAATGGAAGCAGAATGAAGAACAAGGGATGAAACCCTCAGACACTGCAAGACATTCAGACGCTTGGGATAAAAATAAAATGTAAAAGGAAGCCTTCCAGGAAGGAGGGGACAACTTGGAGAGGAAGCAGCTGAGGTGGCTGGGGACAGGAGACACGCTGGGCTGCAGGGGATAGGATGGACATGGACCCAGAACCCGGGAGAACCTCCCCTCTGCCTTTTAAAAGACCCTCCACAAGGACAACAGATAAAATCCCCAACTTATTAAGAGCCCTGTGGAGGTTAACATTTGCATCCTGGAAAACTTAAAGACGCCAAAGAGCCCCATCGCTGCTGGGTGGACACTCCAGCCAGAGCCTGTGCCTAAAGCCACATACTCCCCTCTCCTTGGAAAGGGCTAAACCGCAGAGCGAGAAAAGGGAAAGGAATCGAATTGCAGCAGAAGACCGGGGAGAGCATCTCCTTGGACGGAGTCTGAAGAAAAGAAGAGACAAAGAAGTAACAAAGGAAAAAAGAAAAAAAATTAATAAAAATTTCACGATATGGAGCCAGTGTGTTCCGATTCCGTCCACAAAAATAACTCAGGCTGCTTTGCCGAACCATCCTGTCCACCAGGGGCGCTGCTGAGGCTGTCTGCCTGGAAGGGTCACCAATGGGCGCGGAAAGTCCTCATTCTCATGGCTCGGGCCATCGCCGCCGCGGGGAGGGATCCTGGCGGCCCGGTTTGGGGAGAGGCAAAGGGAGTTGGGTGAGGAGAGAAAGAAGACAAAGAAGACACTCGATGCTACGGGGCGCCAGGAGAGCCCAAGCTGGCGCCCCACTACCACCTGCCCTTTTCCAAGCGAGTCCTCATCACTTGGCCCAGCCCCGTGCGTGCACACACAATCACATGCTTGCGTCCCAATGTCTGGCTCCACATGGTGAGGTTCGGCGTGTTTAAACGAGACCAACTTTCTCTCTCTCTCTCTCTAATATATTTTTCTTAAAAAAAGACAAGTCTAGTTCTGTGGTGGAGGCGGTGGAGGAGCTGGAGGCATCCCGAAGGGCGGCATGCCCGCCACCCCCATGCCCATCATGGTGACAAAGTTAGAAGGGTCCATGGGAGGCGGAGGAGGAGGGGGCGGGGCATACATCATGCCGGCGGAACCAGGTGGCGGAGGCGGCGGAGGGGGAGGGGCACCGGGCGGCAGAGGCGGCTGGACCCCGGGGGGCAGGGGCACCATAGTGGGGTTGCCTTGCATCTGAGGGGCTCCTGGAGAAGCTGCGGCAGCCGCCTGCTGCTGTTGCCATGGCGGGATGGACCCTGTGCCAGCGCTCGTGGTGGTAGTCGTCGTATCTGGGGTGGTAAAGAAGCCCAAGGTCACACGCGCGGGAGCACACCGCGGCTCTCTGCGGCTGCCGCTGGGACGGGGGGCGAGGGCGTCTGCTCCTTGCTTGGCATGCGGTACGGTGGTGGGGGCAGGCGGGCGGGCAGGGCTGTCTTGGTGATGGGGTTGGAGGGGTGGGCAGGACTACCCTGGGGTCAGCCTCAAGGTCTCTGGGCTTCATAGTCAGCCCTCTGTCACCGATGCCCCAGGAAGGGCCAAGAGGAAGGTACTAGACACAAGAACGGCTATGACATCCCTCCGCCCAGCCGCCGCTGCCACCACCGAACCTCAAAGGCCACAGCTGCTCTCCCACCCCACCCCACTCCCAGCATGTCACAGCCTCTCCTGGAGCACCTGGGCCCCACCCACCTGACCAGGCACACCAGAATGGGGCCAGCCTGCAGCTCAGCAGGGCAGAACCTAGACTCTGGCACCCTAGCTCTGACACCAGGCTCCCCGAACCTTCCCTAGACACAACCACACCAGACATCAACTCTCCTCCCTAAGACCCCTGTGGGTCAGGGGTCCCTTTTGGCTCCACCCGAGACCAGCACCTCACCCCCATCTGTGTGTCATGTGAGCTGAGGTTCACATGTTCCTATTAGGCCCTTGCCCAGCCCACCCACTCCCACAAGCCCAAAAGATTCCACTCACTTTGCTGCCATGGCAAGGGGGTGCTGGAAGCCATACTGCTGCTGGGTGGCGGGGGTGGCGGAGGTTGCTGCTGCTGCTGTTGCCATGGGGGAAGAGGACCAGAGGGAGGGGGCGGGGGCTGCCCACTGGGAGGCGGCGGCGGTGGTGGCATCATGCCCATAGGCGGCGGCGGCATCATACCTGCAGAGAGCTGAGAGTGAGGCCTTGGGAGAGGGGCTCCACCAGAAACCCCCTCGTTCCAGCTGAGGTGAGGACCCAAAGGCCCAAAGGGAAAAGCATGGGTTGAGTTACCTTTTCCTTGATGCAGGCGATAGACCCCAGAGCCCACAGGCGTACTTCCCAGGTACTGATCTTAATGGAAGGAAAGGGTAGGAACTTAGCAGGACGTGTGACTCACCCTGCCCCCAGCTCAGCCTTGAACCTTACTAGGAGGGGAGGGCCTCCACACGCCCACGTGGAAGTCACTCCCTGGAGCAGAGTGGCTTGTCAAGGGGACCTAGTTACAACCACTGCCATAATGGCTTCCAGCAACCTGTTGCGAGCCCATGCGTATCCCAGAGCCCCAAAGTCTCTGGTCTGACACTTACTTACCCATTGGAGGAGGGCCATGGTGCCCAGGTGGGTGGGGGCCCTGGTTCATCGGAGGTGGAGGCGGCTGCATCCAAGGGGGTGGGGGTCCATTAGGGTTGTGCTGCATGGGATGTCCACCATGCCCACCTGTCAGGCTTGGTAACGGATGTGGGAAACTGTGGGGGCCACCTCCTGGTCCGCCGGGGCCACCTCCGTGCATGCCGTGGTAAGGTCGACTATCCGAAGGGCCAGAGTTCATCCAGGGGGGGCGACTCTGTGTGGTGGACATGAGAGACTGCGTGAGGGCATTTCCCGTCATTGTCCCGGCCTGCCCCCCCTGGTGGCAACACTGCTCTTTCAGCCGTGCCAAGGGACCAAAGCACAAAGACAAGTCTCTCCAGAGCGAGCAGTCCCCCAAATCGGTTTGACACCCGGAAGAACAATGTTGCCATTGTGTCCATGAACCTGTTCTAAAAGCACTTGGCCACAGTGCCCAGTCTCTGAGAAAGAGAATGGGGAAGCCGGACCAAGATCAGCTAGCCCCAAGGCTCACCGGTGGAGGCGGGTTGTTGGCGGGAGCAGCAGGCCGAGGTGCGCTGGCCAAGGGTGTGGCAGCGGGCCCAGAGGTAGAGCCCACAGATGCTGGTACAGGTGCTTCACCCAGTTCAGCCATAAGGGACAAGTATTCTTTATCCATGCGTGCTTTATCCTGAGCTGACTGAGGGTCACCAGGCCTGGGGTATGGGAGGAAAGAAAACCGTATTGAGAAGCACATTTTTATACCAAGAAACTGATTCAACAGTCCCCCTTGTACTCTGCAATGGACCTGTTCTTAGACTCCCAGCACTGTTTAAACAACAGAGCACACAACTTCCCTTCTCTCATCTCCTGACAGGACCTCCACTGGGGCTGCAGTATAAGCCACTCACCCGACTGTACACCAGGTTCTAACCAACAGAAAGCCAGCTCAAGAGACAAGCAGAAGGGTAAGTTCCTCAGGACAATGAAACCACCACATGATTTAAGTATTTCGGGACCAACCAAGACTGGCAACACAAGGTTCTGAATAAAACTGTCACAGACCAGCATTTTCTGATGCTCTATCAAGCAACCCTCATCAGCTATTTAAGCTCAGGGGTGTATAGAGCACTATCCCAAGCAGCTGCCACAGCCAAGACTGAAAATCAAAGAGAAAGAGCACCTGACCACAGGCAGCCAGGAAAGCACACGTTCTTCTAACAACCAGCCATGTCACATTTAAGGGAAGGGAAATGATGCTTGATTTGCGCCCTGGCCACAAAGTCCTTGGCCTTAGCAGGACAAGTGTTCAGCAGCAAAGACATTCCCAAACAAACCTCAGCAAAAACACTATACTCGGGACAGAAGCACTGAGCCTTCCTTGGTTTAAAGGAGTTACGAAAATGATGGAGGTCCCCACTTAGGTTGTTTGTAATCCCGGGTTTTAAATCACCCCTTAAAGATTCCACATTCACAGAATAGCTTTCTTGGGTCCACAAAATTAACAATCAACTAATGTGTTTTTAAGAACTGTCTCATGCACTGGTTCCCAGGAAACTACCAGAAGGGCCCATCCCTCACCTCTGGAATTTGCAGTCAGAGGCGATGTGGCCAGCTCCACCACACTTGGTGCACACTGTGGTGTTGGTTATGCTGCGGGTCTCGGAGCTCTGCCAGGGTCGTAAAATCCTGTTTCAGGAAGAGATTAGAGAAAAAAAAAATCATCAACAAAGGCCATAGATAATCTAACCTCACCTCACCTCTCCCCCTCTTCGGCTCCTCAGGTCTCCTTGTAGCCCCCTCAAATAGACCACACACCTGTTATCATCTTCTCGAAGAGTCCCATTTAATCGCGCCAACTCTCGAAGCTGCATCTTCCGGAGATCGTTCTGGTCCTCAGGAGTCTCAATACCCTGCTTCAGGATGTTTCTTATCTATTAAAGAGGAAAAGAGCAGTGATGGAGGTGCCGGAGCTAGCACCTAGGCTCTGAGGGTGTCTTCCCAGGCTCACGCACCTGCTCCACAGCCTTCTTGACATTCTCCATTGTGTTGGCGGTGACCAGGGCGTGAAGTGGCTCATCCTCCCCTGGCAGCATCTGGCCATCTTTGCGTCCAACCTTTCCTTCTTTCACAGACCCCTTTCCCCGGATCATAATCTTGGCATTGCACTCCTTCTCAATGTTCTTCAGGGTGTTCCCTCTAGCAGAGACAAAAACCCAACGGTGGGACGGACTGAGTCCCCAAACCAGGCAAGTGCAGGCTCTTTAGCTCGGTGGGAACTCCAAGTGAAAGTCAGCCACGGCAAACATTTAGATATGACCTCTCCACAGTAAAATGGGGCGGCTGGTGATTGGCTCACAAAAAGAGCTAACTCAGCCGTAGTCACGTTCTTAATCAAATACAGGAAAACAAGCTAATAATCAGGCACAAAAGAAACGCACCTCATAAGGTCTTAAAAATTGAACTTTCCAGGGGACAGCAGTTACTCACCTGGGTCCAATCAGGAGCCCCACAAAGTTGATCTCTGGATATTCATCTTGTGGAATCATTACTTTATCGCTCACCCGTGTTGCTGGAGGTCTAATTAAAAAAAAGGGGGGGGGGAAGGGGAAATGACAACAAAATTGTAAATTCTTCTACCAATGTCTGAGATGACAAAATAACCAGTAGCTCTGCTAAGCTTTTTTGGTCACGGTTGTGATTTAGGGGGTAATAGATGAGAATTGAGTACCAAAAGTATCCCGCCACCAGGTTCCACCAGGGCAGGGCCCTCAGCTTACTTGTAATCTGCAGGTGGCTTGAAATCTGGGTTGAGCGCAACCATCTCTGTGATGAGGTTATGTCGCTCCTCTTCAAGCTTCTTGCGTGTGCGGAACTCGCGGGTGTTAAGACGCTTCCCCTCACTATTGTAGATAGGCTCAGGGGAAGGGGACCTGTGGGAGACAGAGCACTGTTACGGCTTGGCTCCTACTTCCTGCTCTTCCCCACACGGGCTATACCAAGTCTTCCCCAGCCCTCTGTCTCTCAAGACCCTAACACAACACTCTTCGGAGGAACCGACCATAACGTGTGTTTTTCAAGATCGTGTGGAATGGAGAGATGGAAGCTGGCTGAGCATAAAGGGATTGAGGGTGCTCTGTGTGTGTGTGGTTTCTAACAGTGAGGAAAAAACATCTATCACCTGAGGGGAACATCTTTGTACTGTAAATGACAAAGACAGTATCAACCTCGAGTCATCTTGTCAAATATTTTCATTTGAAAAAACATTATAACTTTATTAGCATGGAAACTCCAGTTTAGGTCAAATGTTAACTCCTGGTGAGCTCACACCCTATTAAGAAGAATGTCTGTGTCCTGACCCATGAGAGGAATGAGCTCTGTGACCCAAGGCAACTGGGACTCAAGGCCACTGCAGCTACTTGGCCCCACAATGGAGAGAGATGGCGCGAGGCTTCGTCTCTGCTTTTCCTTCAATGGCCTGGCTGGCTTTGTCCAAGGCCCAGGAGTCAACCTGTTTTCTGGCTGTGCAAGGTTAGGGAGTCTGGGTAGAGAAAAAAATGTTAAAATGCTAAAGCAGCTTCTAAAGAGGCTGCATATGCAGATTTAGTCAAATATTTATCTAGGGTATGAACCTGCAAATAGTAAGGGGAAGGCCTAGTGTTCCTCCACCCTAGTTTATAAGTCCAGAAAGCAGATTCTCTCTCTCTCTCTCTCATTTTTAAAGGAGTAAATTGCTGTTGCTACAAGTAAAAAAATAGTAATGATAAAATGGTCAGTTACCACAGCTGGATTTTGCGGTAATAAAAAAAAAAAAAAAAGGTTACACTCCTAGAATTCTGAGTTCAGATCATAAAAAGGATCAGAGCTTGATATTCTGAATGAAAATTTAGTAGCAGCTGCAAGAAGGGAAGAGACCATGTGGATCAGGTTATTAAAAAGCATTCTGAAAGTTGTCAAGACTCCTATGGCTTTAGTCTAGTTGAGAACCTTGCCTAGTTGGAGAGCAAGGACTGAACTCGGCTGCTCCCACTGTCTTCAGCCTAAAGGGAACCATGTCACACCACGTTACACACACGATGGAATAAAAGGTCAGGTTTGTTCATGGCTAATGACGGCTAAGTGACACCTCCGCTTCTAGCATTTGTATAAACTGTTAGCACAATCCAATCATCATTAACAAAAGCAAATATACCCCAACTCATTAGACTATCATCTTACACATTTAAATCTACAATAGATTTTAAGACATTTTTAACTGTGCAGGTTAAGCAACATCAAAATAGCAGAAAAGTGGCTTAATTTAATACACCTTAATGAATTATCCCAGTTAATTAAAATAAGAAGCTCAATCCATTTCCCTCCACCAACCTGGGCTCAAAGCAAAACCAAGCAGGCATTAGGGCCTCTTTCAAAGTGATTATGAGAGAGGATACCGCTGACTGACTTTTAGAACCTTGACAATTAGTGTATCTAGGCTTGTTATTTCTAAGCTCCCCCTCCCCCAGCTCATCGCTGTCTAGAATTAAGCCATCTCTGGATGATTACCAAGATAATTTTTACCAGTATCAAAATGATCAGTTAGAAGCCTTATAGCAATTTACTCTCCTCAAATTGTGAAAGTAAAAGGCATAGCTAATGTTCTAGGTTAGACTGGCCCAACTTCTTTACCTTAAATAACACTGTATTAGAGCAACTAAATTCTAACCCACCTCTCCAGGATCAAAGAAAGTTAAAAATGCAACCTTTTAAAGAATTGTCTGCTAACCTGTAGACACATTAAAGGGGACAAGGCCAGTCAGGCACTAACAGATGTGGTCTATTGCCTACAATGCAAATTAAGGAAGGGAAGGGGAGAAAATTCTCCAAATAATAAATAGAAAACACTACCCTCCAACAAGTTTTGTAAGTGAACTTCAAGAGGGAGCACAGAAAAAGGAGGAAGTTAACTTATTTGCTGGTGAAGGGGCTCAGAAAGATGCAGGAACAAGGGGCTTTAGAGTCCCCCTTCCTTATTCAATGCACCTCCAGGTAACAAAAAGCCCAAACCACCACTCTTTAACCTATAAGGCACCTACTTGGGTCCATTTTATTGAGAGACAGGTTTTACTCAGTGCCTTATTAAATAATCATCTGACTTCAACTGTTCAAACATCAAACAGCCAATAAAACACTCCAATAAAATATTTTGAAAAACACTTTTCTCAAAGGTTAAGTCTGAAAATGCTTGGCTTTTCAGAAATGAAAGAAATTGTGACCTAAAGGCATGACCACAGCTGTTTGAGGACCATACTCCCCCTAAACATGTAGTGAAATTTAGGGCTGGGGGCTTGCCGCCCATAGAAGAATGTCTTGGACCCTCCCAGCCTCCCCTCCTCAAGCAATGGCCAAGGCTGAAAATTAACTGGCAGTAAAGAAGTTGGTTAGAAATCTCATCTAATTTTAGAACCGTCTTAAAACCAAATAGCAGGAAGACTGCAGCAATGAGCTGACCAGACTGCTCAAATTCAGTGACGCTCAAAACCAGTCTTAATCCTGCATCGTGTACCTGTGAGAAAAATTCTATACCCTGGGCTTTCAGCCAAGCAGGTACTTTCAGGCAGGTTAACGGGCCACCTCACTGTCCTTACAGATGAGTAAATCAGGTTAAAATAAAACCTACATGCGTACCAATTGGAAACCGGTTGTCCATTTTCTTGCCTTATCCTGCTAACAATTACATTTCATTCCAATTTTCTAACTTTGCCTGTTATACATACACATAAATACAAACATGTTAAAAAATACTAATTAAACCTATATCCTCCAATGGTTAAAGTACCGGTCGTCTTACTAGGATTTTATTCAACTGACACATTATGTTGCCACCAGTAAAACGTATTGAGAAAAAGGTAAAAGCGTTACTGTCAGCTGGTTAAAACTGTTTCCCAACCTGTCCTCAGGGTTAGGGGGGATGCCCAGGTCTCCTGTGCGCAGTTTACGAGTCAGGTCTTCTATCTGCAGTTGCACTGGAAGAAACCAGGTTAGGAAAGAAAAAAAAGGATGGAAAAAAGACAATGTTACCAATAAACATCTCAAATCTCAGTAACAAGCATGAAGAACTCGGAGACTTTGAAAGGGACGACTGATCAGTGAACACACTGAGGTAAAAACCCCCACCACCTATTCGCAGGAGTCCACTTAACATCTACAGGTATTTTGCATTTCAAAATGGTTATCACTTAAGGAAGCAAACTGATTGCTGGAAGAGGGGTTAGCAGTAAAGGCTGTTCACTAAGGCCAACACCAAAGCAGTTACTAGGAGGTTTGTCACCTCATCCTCCCCAAGGCTGGCTATACAAAGGACACCCAGAACAAAATCATAATGTTGCCACCAGTACCCTGTTTCCCACCAAAATTATTTTCTTCAGGGTAAAAATGTATTTACATCATTAAAATAGTAAACATGGCCTGAAAGGAGACCAAGTGACAAGGGACAAAAAAAAAAACACCAGTTGAGAACATTTTCATTTAAATTCTTAAAACATTTTATAACCACTTTAACCATTACATAATTTGCACATACTCTTTCTGTGCAACCAGACCCATTTTGATAAGGGTCTTACCATTCCTACTTCTTTTATTCACAATAGATGATCACACATTACCTTAATAAATCAATAACCACAAAGACATTAGAGATCTTTTTTAGATTTGCTGTTAATATGGGGAGTAAAAGTTGGGGTTGCAGAGGCTGAAAGTGTGGGTCAAGAATGTATTATGTGGTTCAACAGCCTTATGTATGTGAGGCTGGACACAAAGAGATAAGGGAAACATCATAAGATGCCCAGGGAAACATTACAGTTGATTTTCTGAGATAATTGAGCTGTAAAGCCAGATCACCTTTCTTCAATGAGCAGGCAGAATAACCACCTGCTTTTTACCTGTAAGAGTACCTGAAAGCTGAGCAGACATCACTAATAAGGGCAAGCCTTAATAAACTGGGTTAATGTTGAGTTGGCCCCAAGACGGGATTAATATATTAAGTGTCCTTTTCCTTTTGAAAGCATCCTACAGAACTGCACAGCACAAAATAGCAATCTGTAGTGACAAGATGGTAAGGGCACTCGAGACAGGACAGTCTGCTGTGGATAGGAAGAGGGGGAAAACATGGCTTCCTCTCTAAGCTCCTTTAGTCTAGAAAAGCTCCCAATTTAGCAGTCAAGTTCAATTAAGGTTAAAGCCCTCTTCATTGGGACAGGCAGTACACATAAACAGCCTAGAAGAGGCATGGGATCTGACTAGAAGAGAGAAAGGGAAACAATAAAACAGAACCCAAAAGGGACTGTATCTTGTGTGGTTTTATAGGAAAAATCCGCACACTAAGGTAATTCTGCATTGATGGTGTCTCTCTTCTGTGGTCTCCAGAGTGGAAAACTAGCCCAGTATCTGTTTTGTTTCTATCCACTGTGATCACAGCTCTAAGTTGCCCATAGGACTTGATGCATCAGCCATCCCTTCACAAGGGAAGGATGCAAAAAGCAACAACCTGTTACCAGTGTGCTCTAGTCCACATCATGCTGCACTGCTAAGTAAAAGAAGGGAGTTCCCCTACTTGCTAGGGGGTTTTCTAAAGTGGTTTTGAAGACCCACATGGGTCAAGATAACACAGAGTTGGGAGTAAAACAGAAGATGAGTGGGGAAAAACAAACATTAGTAGCACTGTAAAAAATGAGACAAAGCTAACGCTTCAGAATTCTTAGCAGTCTAAGAACTAAGATCCTCAAATCTAAACATGCAAGCCTTCCAATTTTTGTTTATGAAGGTCAGGAATGAAAAGATTTGTCTTGATTTTCCACATTACAAAGAATCCCTTTCCAGCAGAAAACAGAGCCTTCGTTTTAAGGCAGCTATCTTAAAGACCAAACCAGGGAACAAACTGAAGGGAAGGTTAAATGCAACATGGTCAAAAGGGCTGAAGTGCAAGCATATTTTAAGTACCACCTTTTTGGTTCAATTTGAGGATTCCCCCCCTTTTCAGAAAGTACCTATAAAGAAGTAAAATCACATTTTAGGGGGAGGGAGGAATACAAAATTATGGTAAAAGGCCATGCTGTGAAAAAGGTACTTGTGTTTACAATACCTGCAGTGTTCTCCACTGGGGCCATGTCCAGAGGGACAAACCACTCACCTCATCAACTGGCAAGGAACCTGAACAGCAGCTGGAAAGGACAGAGTGAGGTGGGGGATGGCCTGGGGACTATGCTCACTCCTAAGTGGGTACCTTTACCTTCCTGGCACTCATGGAGAACACTGTTATGAACAAACCAAAACAAAGAACTGCACACTGAGCAGGAATGATGGATTGTATCAAAGTTAGGAACGTTCACTTGACCACAGCCCTTTATCAAATGTCACTTTCAAAACACAGAATCATTGCTCAAAGCAATGCAGAACGTGTATTTACCTATATAAGCTCTTTCCTGCTCCCGAGTCAGTCCAGGAGGGATAACAGTAGGCATTCCTGGAATCACAGTTTTCTGTTCCATTGTGTCCTGGTTCCAGCGGCTCCTCTTCCGCTTCTTACTTGGAAAGTCTAAAAGCAAATAAACTCCTTTTACTTGGAAAGTCCTTTAGGCAAATAAATGAGATGGAAATGTAAACTCACAGCAACTACCAATAGACAGTGCAGCAGAAATTGAGAACCAGATTTAAAACATAAAGGGTAAAGAATAGAATGCAAACTCCAGAAACGAGAAATTGGAATAAAATACATGGATACATACCAGGCACTCAGAAGTTATCATTTTCCCTTTCTAACTTTCCTCCAGAGACCCTTTGCAACATGCATGCAAGCAAAGTAATAAATAAAAGTACATAAAAATCTCACAAAATTAACAACTTAAGTACAAAAAAACCCCCACTTAAATGCTAGAATGATACAACAGTGGCATGAATGCCTTAGAAGCCGCGTGAGAAGAGTGCAGACTCACAGTCAAGTCTACAGAGCACTACCCAGGCCATGGTCAGCTCATCCTATTCTTTTTCTGAGTGGACTGAAAATAGAACACACTGGCAAGCTCTGGTGGCCTAGTGGCAAGAAGCTACACTGCAATCCCAGAGGTGTGCGGTTCAAATCCACCAGATGCTTTGCTGGAGAAGGAGGGGCAATCTCCTCCTGTAACAGTCAAATCTGATTTGACGGTACACAAACACACACACACAATAAAATAAAAAAAGAAATAACACACTAAAACCTACGAGACACTAAAATCTCCATCTACTGCCAATTAAAACAGCAACTACTTAAGACATTGTGGAACTGTTCCCTAAGATTTCCCATATTAAACATCAAACTGCCAACCTCTGGTCTGTTATTACTAGGTGCTGTCCAGGTTAGTACAACTGAGCGCAGCCCTAAGAACAGATCTGAACCTTGTCCTACCCCGCTGCCATCCTCACAATCAGACACACTCAAGCCCAATGCTGCAGTCACTGTGTTCACCAATCCACTTGGTGGAGAGGCTTCATCTTTCACCCACCCTCCTCCACCATTCAAAGCTTGATGTCCCTCTCCATGGAACAGCCTCTCCTAGAAACGTGCCCAGTGTGTGAAGGGAAAGTGTCATCATCAATGCCTCCATGGAACATTCTTGCAGCACCTTGTCTTGTGTTTAGAGTGCTGTTAACCACAGCACCACCCTTGCTACATACTTCTACGTGAAAAGTTCTATTCAACCAGACGACAATTTTCCTTCTTTTTAAATTTTATTGTTTTTGTGTGCGTGTACCGTCAAATCAGATCTGACTGGTACAGGAGATTGTTCCTCCTTCTTCTGCAGAGCATCTGGTGGATTCGAACTGTTCGCCTCTGGGATTGTAGTTGCAGCTCCTTGCCACTAGGCCACCAGAGGTCCCCTACAATTTTCCTTCTTTCTAAATCTTGTCAAGACCCGCATTCAGCGACTCTGGGCCAGGTGGACTGAAGTCTGAGAGCTCAAGGATGAGCAAGGGATGTTAAAGCAGCCACACACGCAGACACCCCCAACACTGACGCCATACCCTCAGCACTTCAGTTTCTTAAGCTGGTGCAAAAAAGTCCGTAGAAAGAACTGCAAGACCAAGGGTGCAGGAGAGAAGAGGACTCTCTCGAGAGGGAAAACAAGGCAACCAGGATGTCCTTTCAAATGAGACCACCAAGAAACGGGACCCAAGCATCACCAGGACTCGCACATCTTCCTCTGTAGTGAAACCTTCACCTCCAAGTACAAGCAAAGGTGCAAGCCCCCTGAAGCCTTATTTGTCTTTCAGATTAACTCAGCAGCGTGTGCAACTCAAAGTCAGGAAAGGGGCAACCCATGTCATGACTTGACCCTTTGACCACCTCGGAGCACCCCCCACCCAACTTCCCGCCGATGTCCAAGTACTTCTGGTCCCCTCGCGTCCTCATGTGTCCCCCTAAACGGCCAGAGAAGGGCCGCAGACCCCCGGCTCGGCAGGGACACTTCAATTCC